ATTTTGAAGTGTACACAATTGGTGTGTGTGCCACGCATACAATTCATATGTGCAGATTTACAAAAATAGCAGAGTATGGAAGTGAAAATCCATTTGGTTCAGCAATGTGGTGCAAATAACCTAATTAAGTGCACCAAACCTACTTTAACAGCTGCACATGATAAAACTGATGCTTTTGTAAATGTCGTAACTTAGCCCATTTGTTTGTAGCCCACAGTGAACAGATTTTCTTACTGTTTGTTTTAAAAGTAATACAATGGCAAATGACAGTATTTAGACAGCCTTCAGAGTGCAGCTGCCCATTAAAATGTTAATTAAAAATTAGGATGTTGGAGGACACCAGAAGTCATAACGGTATGCTTCAGAAATCTAGTGTATTCAAAGTTATGGATTTACTTTATGCCTATTGATACCACTTTCTGAGAGTATGAATTGGGTTAAAACATGCAAAAAATAGTTCTCATAGAATTTGCATAATTTCTGGTGTTGGTAATAGATGATGATTATTTGTGCAGTGCAACAGTTCTGCACACTTTCCATTATTGAGAAATTTGACTGTTAAAGCAAATAGATTGCACTGTCCCTTGTATTACTAGGGTTAAATGTAAGAGTACTATTGTCAAGACGACCCTGAGATGCTCCCTGGAGCAACACACCTGGAGTATCATGGAATTGGTATGGAAAGCAAAATCCAAACCAGTTTTCTCAGGAGTTTCTCCAGATGCATTCTGGTTCTCAGGATACTCTTCAAAGAAACTCAGTTACAGCAAACTCCTAGATTGGGATATGTTCTCAGAGCGTGAAACCCACTGTAGCCTTCTGAATTTTTACATCAAAATATTCTGACACTGTTTCTACTTCTAATGCAATGAGCTGGAGAGAAAAAGCTGTCATTTGTAAATGTGCTTAGTGGAACAGGAATTTTACTTCTTCCAGTAAGGTGTGAGGAGTGGTGTTTACATCACTATGGTTCAGAGCTTCTGTCCGTGGTATCTCGCAAGTTTACTTGAGGGGATTCTCTTGACAGAGTATTTATTGTATGAGGACTGAAAAAATAAATAAATAAAGCCGTAAGAAGGACTAAGCTGCTGTAGTTTTGAAATGAACTCATTTTTATCTTTGTTATCTTTTGAATCTTAAATGTCTCCCAGAAGCCCATGCATAAAAAACTTAGTACGAACACGGTAGTGTCAAGGCAGAACACTTGGGAGTCCACTGGATCCCAAGAGTTCCATCCTCATGAATTGATTAATTATGAATTCATATCTTAATGGGTTTGGGAGCAATAGTTTTCACATTAAAAGTGAGCGATCTCTCTCTCTCTCTCTCTCTCTCTCTCTCTGCTTTCTGGCTTCTATGAGGAAAACGGTTATTTTTCTTCTGCCATGGGCTTTTGCCTGGATATGACCTCTGAAACTGTGCGACAAAGTGAACTTTTGTTCATTTTAATCATACTCCTCAAGAATTTTGTTACATCAACTGAACATTGACAATCATATCACAAACACACTACAACTATATATCCATAGTCTCCACATCATAACCAATATTTTCATAAAAATTCTAGTGAAAGGCTTAACATATTGAACAACAAATTTTCAGATACAAAGTTATTGACAGAAACAAAATATTTCTCAATCTCTGTGTGTATCCTGTGTGCAGAGGCATGGTTCACCCCAGGGCATCCAGAAAGTAAAGGAAAGAGAAGCAAGAGTTGGGATCCCAACACCCTCTGCAAGGGTTTGTGCTCAGTGACCAAACTTCCCCCAGTCTCTGCTCCTACTGCTTCAGGCTCTATTTGTGCAGTATATATAGGCCTTAGCAGGTATTTAGGGTCTGACCCAAGGTAATGAACTCCTATCTTATGTATATTACTGCAAGCTAAAAGCATTCAGCCAAGACCAAACCAACAGACCCTCTAGACTCTTGTAAAGAGAGGAAGGAAAGTTTTTCTGCATGAGCATGAATGAGTTTTCTGTATAGTAGCTGCCTTGGAAAGACTAGGGAGGAGGCCACCTGTGCTCTCAGGAATTCTGCCTGAGAGAAGAGGCAAGACCACTGCTTCTTCCCTTGATATCACTCATTAGGGGATCCTGAAGGTGCAGAAATTTGGAGGGACTTCAGTTCCTTTTAACTGATGAGATACAGGCTAATTTCACATGTCAGTTTTGCTGTGAAGGTTAAGTGGTCATAAGTAATTTTAATTACTATGTACTCTCCTCAAAATCAATAATTGCCTTTGAATGGGATTTTACTTAATCAAGTGGGAGGGATAGGAAACAGAGTCATGTGGGGATGGAGAGTCACTCAAATAATTTAACCAATCAAGCATTTTTTAAAAAATATATATATATAAAAACTATTTGTATCATCTTTCAATCCTTGATGCAATATGATTTATTTTAGATAAGGAATAATAAGAAAACAACTAAGTGAAGCAATAAGGTTTTTCTTTTTAATCTGTGTTTTGGAATAAATGTCCCTGCTTTTTGAAATAAATGTCCTTGAAATCTTTAATAGGCAAATTTTTAAAAATACATTTTCAATGTGCACAATAGTTCACATTATCTTCACATAGTGACTAAATTGAAATATTCTGAGATGTTTTTCTGCTTGCTTTGTCTTCATTTCATACTATGTTATACATGTGTAAGTATTCCAAATATGTATTGGAAGATTTTTGCAATAAAAAGAAAAAAATACAAGTGAACATTGATAAATACAAAACAAGCATAGATATCACATTACACAGATTGCAGGAATGTAAAGTTAAAAGGTAGAACTGATAAAAACCAGAGGAGAGGGCTGGGGATTTAGCTCAGTGGTGCCACACCTGCCTCATAAGCACAAGGTCCTGAGTTCAATCTCTGGAACCATAAAAACAATATCAAAAACAAAAAACAGGAAAAATTTGATAAATCAGTACCACATTTTACCTCCCTTATAAATTTCTCTCTGCGTGCTGAAAAGAGAAAGCACTGAAGCATTTTCCAGAGTCATCTTATAGTACTTTCTAAAGGTCAGTGGCCTTCCTTCCCTGAATAAAGCTAAATTTTCAAAGTAATGTAGCACCTTGCATAGATTTAATTTGGATAGTTTAACTCTTTAGAGAGTCAGACATTTTAGACAAACAGTGAAGGATCCTTTCTGGAAAGCAGGTGGCAGGGGCTTTGAGAATCAGGATCTATCAGTGTCAAATCAAACAGGTTGTAATGTTTGCAGCGATTGATGAACTTGAACCCAACAAGCCTGTAACACATCTCACCATTACAGCCTCCTCACTGTGGGGCTGACTGCTCAACTGCCACATCTGACCAGGGCCTTTCAGATTTGTTTTTGTCCTCTGCTGTTCTTGCAAACCAGAGCTGCCTCTGGCCTCAAATATACGTTCATCTCTCATTGCGATGGAACTTAGATTTATTAGAAAAATCAAAAAGAAACTAACATAATCCATTTTAAATTTCATATAGGCAAAAGAAAAACTGAATCATGTCAACTGTAGAACAAGTTTGCATTTAACTACAAAATGGGTACAGACTGGAACTACAGAATGGTAAATCTAAAAACTAATCATAAACTAGATTGTGAATAGAGACTTAAATGCAATAGCGCATCATGGAGAAAAACTGAAGCCATGGCAGTGTCATCAAACCACAGCCGGAGAAGTTCATGGAGATAACTTCATTGGAATCAAATCAAGTGACAATCATAGAGTTCATCCTGTGCTCCTTGTACTGTGCGAGTTCTCACAGGGCGATCCCTTTGTAAGGGAACTGCATGGAGAGTGCACTGGTGTGAATTAATGAGTACAGCCACACAGGTCACCGTCGTCTCTCAGCACACAAATGATTGCCTATCACGACGGCATCTCAGAATGTGCTGACCAGTCGTAGCACAGTAAGTGCACCCACAAATGTGTGGTGTATTTACACAGGATAGAAAGCTATGAAAGGAGAATTCTGTCTCAAGACCTGGCAGCATGGAATGAATGATTCGATAAACCTGACATTAGTTGCACGTATCTTTAGACGAAGATATTTTATCATAAATATGAATTCTGAAAAATGCAATACCTTAGCAGAGAACCTGAAATCACTTTCTGAATAATAATTCCAAATGAAAAAATTCAGCATAAAAAAGAATCTTACAATTGCTTTCCTTTTTTGGCTTGAAATCTTGGTTTTAACATCAGCAATTAAGCAGCGTAACTTATCATATTCAATTGAGTTTCCATCCCAAAGGCCACTCCATCAAATGTCAGGAGGTTTCATGGTAAAGTCTGTGCCACTCGCACTGTGGAGCAGATGGCGAGTCAGCTGGGTTTAGGTGGGTAGTCCAGATCCTGCCATATTAAGGGACGTCTCCCAGCAGGAAGTCGATCTCTCTGGACACCAGCGTCATTCTACCCACCAACCAGACTATCTGCTGTTTTCCGTTAGACCTGTTGCCACTGACCCATGAAAATAGAGCATCTTGGGGAGTCATTGAAATATTCACATCGTGTACTCCTGGGGATTTATTATGAAGCCACTCATGCTTCCAGGAGAAAATTTTCAGAGAAGGAAGTATAGCTCTACTTCACACTTCAGAAGAACTTTTGGTTTAACAGATTATAACGTATCTTCTCTGCAGCAGCAAAAACACAACCCACAACTTTTCAAGGCTGAAAAATAGAGCAAGTGTAGTTGCTTAGGATACTTAAAACTCAGTGCTTTCACAGTGAAATAACCAAAGTAACAACAATGAATAATATTTCTCATCAGTGGTATGTTCTTACCAAATGAACATATATCTGGCACCTTGTGTAACTCATGTTAAATTTGATGTGAAATTGTACACCCTTAACATTAACTGGAAACAGAAATGATTTTTGCTTTATATATTCTTATGGAGCTCTGACATTTATTTGAGTTCAGTTCATCACTGCCCTTTTTGAAACAGAGTGCAAACCCCTATGGGTCCTCATTTCCTTTGAATTGAAGTAATGTTCCAGTGGTCCAGGAGGCAGCATGTAAGTGGCAGAACGATGGCAGACACAGCACCATGCTTTGCCAACATTCCTTTTCATCTTTCCGAGACAGCTTTATCATTGTGCATCTGTTTATGGGTGTGCATTTTCTTGTCTAAAGATCAGAGCACAAAAGAAATAGGTCTTTGACTCTGAAAATAATACTAGAGCTTGAGAATATGGTGTCTTTGATAGCAATATTTTTAGCTGGGCAATTTACATCCTAGAGCAAGACTACTTACCTTTCTGTCAGATTCTAATCAGTTTCAAAATGGTCTCTATTTTACTAGCTGAAAGAAACATGTAAATCGCCTTTTATCAGCACCTTTTAAAATTATTTTAATGCCTGTCTCATTATTTTTTGAATAAAATAGGAGCTCTCCTGCTTTCTGTATTTAATTTTTATGCTACCATTAAAAATAATTGTGATAGTTTGTGTTCAATCCAGTGTACCTGAGTTTATACCATGAATCATCGACATTTTTGGAGAGAAAAGAACCAAGCATTGTCCACTGCCATCTTTGTCTCTTGGCTTAGCTTTAAAAATCATGTCAAATATACCATCCTGCTAAGCACAATCACAGGGGATCTGCATTTTACCCAGGATCGCTGTGTGACCCATGGCACTGCATTTCGTGGGCCCGTGCTTTGATAGCACTACACTGCTTTGGTCTGTCTTCATGCAGGGGTCGTGATGAGCATGCACCTTGAAAAAATAATAGTCATTTCCATCCACCTTCCTGACTTGCCTCCATCTTATCCTCCGTCCTCAACCTAAAGTTCAAACTAGATTTATTCCTTTGCTTCTGCAGCCAAAGGCAAAATAAGGAGAGTACACAAGGAAGACAGATGCAGACACTACATGAGGCACACCATCCACAGGTCTTATATCCTTTTTGCAGCAACCATTTGAAGTAGGCGATATTAGCTTGGTCTTATAGTTGAAAGAACAAAGTCCATTAAGATAAGGTCATTCATCAAGACTCATATTTGCAAGTGAGAGCAAGGTGGAAGACCTGCAACTATATCTAAAATATTTCTGATTTCATGCTTTTCTCCCCCTTATCATGATGGCAAGTATTTTCCATCTTTTCAGGCCAAATGCAAAGTGGCTTTCTGAATGTTTGCCTTTAAAAGGATTCTGAGGTCAAATTGAAGTCCAAGAAGAAAAAGTACTAGGAATAAACTGCAGAAGGGGGAATTTTATGATTTATTCTATGTTGCTGAGGTGTTACTTCTTGGTTCCCCAGTAACAGGCTGGTACTCTAATCTATGTGTTGGAAGACAAGGATGTGTATTTCTTCACGTTGTACTCACAGTCGAAGTGACACACAGCTATAAGGTTTGCTTTAAAAGATAATGTCTTCCTATGAGACATATATATATGGAATAATTTCAGCATAGTGTGAGTTCACATTTGTTTATGTATAATTTCATGAGTGAGAAAAGCGAGTTGAAGGCAAAAATCCATTCTCCACTAAACTGAGACACATAGATAGACATAAAATACACACACCCAAACACACACACCCTCCTTACATCCACCAGTTACTACAGTTCACAGTGTGATGAGTTACACCTGCTCACATCTGGTGTGCCTACTTTCTGACTGATTTCAGACCAGCCTTTCATCACCATTTCTCTGCAATTCTCAGGCTTCAGTCATCCCAAAGACAATTTCCAAATAAATTTCAGCTATATTTTAAGGTAATGTGCCACAGTGAAATATTTGTTTTTATCACCAGCTAAAATGATTAGATTATGCTACCGTATTTAATGAAGCTATGTTTTAACTTTACTTTTATTAGTGCATATTTGTCATATAGATTGATCACATTCATCATAGGGAATTTGTACCTGTACATAATATAGATCAATCTTTTCCCTCTATTCCCTCCCCACCCTTAATCCATCCTCCTCTCCCCATTTGCAAAAGCTTTGTTTCCATTTTTTCTTTCCATTCTTTATTTTTCTTTGGAAATGGAGTTCCTTTGATGTGTAATTCGACCCCCACCCAACCCCAGTATAAGGGATAAAACTCAGGCCCTTGTGCTTGCAAGGCAGGCGAGGTGCCACTGAGCTAAATCCCTGACCCTCTGAAGAGGCTTTTTTTTCTTTTATTGAGTTTATTGGTACAGTTTAGGTATACAGTACAATTACATTCATTACTGGGATCTTGTACCTTTACATGATAGGTCTTGGTTCTCATGTTTTCCCCCTTGTCCATGCCCTCCCTTCATCCCCTCCGCCTCTCCCCATTTACAAACACTTTATTTTTATTTTTTCATTTTGTCATATTTTTTCTTTTCCCTTATTACCTTCCCCTACCCTTCCCATTTTCCCTATACCTTTAGCCCTTTTCTTCCTATCTCACATGGTCAATTATCTCATTAGGATCTTATGTACTGTTATAGTTTTTCACACCAGAGAAACTATTCCACATTTACACGTGTGTGACTTATTTATTTCACTGAGGAGTATATACTCAATATATGTCCATTTTCCTATGAATGAATCTAACTTCTCCTTCTTTATGGCTGAGTAGTATTCCATTTTATAGAAAAACCACATCTTCCTTATCCAGTTTTCCAACTGATGGGCAAAGAGGCTTTTGATTGTCATGCTTCTAAACCCATTTTTTCCATAAGAACTGAGATTTTGATTGTGGCAAGTTATATAGTAATTTTTAGGAATGCAAATGTTTCTTTGTAGCAGCACTACCTGATTTAGCCGGACTCAACCCTGATAAACATGCATTTTAAAAATGCCTACCTGAAAATACAGGAATTGATTCAGTGTTCAACAATGTATGCGCATCAGGAATAGTCACTCTTGGGTACCAGCAGTAAAGGGAAGTAAATGCACTAGAAATTCTAGAAAGTGTTGGTGGGAAATTACTTCGCCATGAAAAAACCATCCTTTGATGGTCTATATTATAAACAATTGCTGTAGTATTACTAATCTACAAGTTTAGCATTTGCACATTTATATTGCCTACCCTTTAATATGTATCATTTCTATATTATATTGATTTCAGGAAAATTACATTCATATAATTGATAATACTATACATGAACTTAACTGTACATATTCTTCTCATCTGTAAATTCATAGCAGCTCAGAATTTGTCAAACTGATTTTTGATACAGTTTATCTCTATTTACTGTGAGGCCCCCTGTGTTTAATTAAGTCAGAAATATACATCTTCTGGTGTTTACTTTGTTAGATTAGAAATAAAGAAATAGAGCACAGTGATTACAATGAAAAGAACTTGAGTTCCTTCAATTCTATTGAACCGTATAAGCATTTTAGTTTTTATTTGTGTGTAAAATGTAGAAAAGTAAAACAAAGTGTGTATTTTCCCAATAAAATTAATTTTTTAAGTATGCATTTTAGATAAAATGCCTTTAATCAGAATCAGAGGCTGTATAACAATGCCTAATCTGCCAAAGGGATTAACAATGCCTACTGCCTGGAAACTTCTCTCAGCAAAGGGAAGCATTTTGATTTCTCCTTTTAAACCATGCTTTCATTTCAGGAGGGCTCAGGGGAGAGCAAGCAGAATCTCACAGAAGCAGAGCCATGCCAGGTGAGTGAGGAGCACAAGGGAGTTTCACACACACTAGGTGAGCTACAGAACATCCAGCAACTGCAGCGAGTTTACTGCCAAGCAGCAAGAGAATATTGGGTGCTTTGTAAAAGCACAGGTACAAAATGGCATTGAGGGTCAAGCTGGAGTCGGGTTGGCTGTCACAAATGTTTATTTTTCTCAGAAGTAATTACTGAAGAAATGAAAATGCATGAGAATAAGGGATATGAAAATGCATTAAGGAGTCAACATTTAAACCAGCTCATTCTCATCAAGGATGGTTTTGAATGTCTAAGGTAAGCACTAGGTAGTTTGGGAATTTATTACTCTTGTGACTTAATATTTTGAAATGAAATCATTCTTATTTATACATAATTATTTAGCACACTATTTTTTGGAGCATTATTCAGTCTAGTGTGAGTTGCATGCACTTGAAAGAATGAAATGCATGCTTAAATCATAAGGCTTCACTACATGAGGTGAAAGTTGTTTTTGGAATTGCTAAGAATTTGTTTTAAGTGCCTATGTTGTGTCTCCTCAGCTAGTTTCTAAGGGCCTTATAGTTCCTATTTCCAGTATAAAATACAGGGGTCGTTACCCGTTGTGACATTACAATGAAAGTTTTGTTGATGGCATATTGTAGGGTACACCCTTTAAAGAAAGTTTCTAGTAGTCTTAAGGGGAAACAAATATATAACAGACTATATTTTAGTTGGTGTCAAAATCAATTTCAAAAATAATAATGTTAGGAAACGTGCTTTGTTATTATTTTAGGTGGCAACAAAATCTTCCTTGCTTTATTGCAATGTTTTTTGAGGCAAGGCTGAAATTTTATTTTTTAATAATACTGTACATCAGTCTTATATGGCGATGCATTTTGTTTGTCGGCAGATGCTCATTAAATGACCATGGCAGGAAGAAGAGACTAAACATCTAAGTTCCTAGGTTTCCATTGGTCAATTTCTTTCGGGTCAATTTCACTTTCTACTTGATCACTGGTAAAATGGAGATGGAAAGTTCAACCGGTATCTATAAGGCTATTTTGTATTCAGCATGTTTGCAGATTTACTAATTTGTTGATTCTTTTTTTCCCCCTCTTGAGTTTATTGGTACATTTTAGGTATACAGTATAATTACATTCATTATTGGGATCTTGTACCTTTACATGACAGGTCTTGGTTCTCATTTTTTCCCCTTGTCCCTGCCCTCCCTTCACCCTCCTCCCCTCCCCCTTTACAAACACTTCATTCGCACTTTCTATGTAGAAGTCCTACCTGACAAATACGTGTGTGTGTTTATATGTGTAGAGATGTGCATACACATACACAAAAGCCCAACCTCCAAAGCAATATTATTCAGTTGCAGTGATAAAATACATCCTCTTGTTCCTGATCTTTAAAAACACATTTACTGTGGTGTTTGCTTAAAGTGCTTTGACAAATACTCTTTTCTTTAATGTGGAAAAGATCCTTTTCAGACTTCACATTTACAATTTTTATTATTTGGAAGAAATTTCAATGACAGATAACATAAGTATGAATTTGAATAAAAACATTGACACTGGAAATATAGGGATTGAAATCACTCTGGGGGAAGACAAATTCCCTTCTGGCTCTTTTATAAATTGTTGAGCAGCTGTCCTATTTCAATCACTAAGTGTCAGCAGCTGATTCTTTACAAATGTTGTAAGATATGCCTTTTCTTCTTTTCTTTAAATTTATTGGTACCTTTTAGGTACACAGTACAGTTACACTCGTCATTGGGATCTTGTACCTTTACATGATATGTCTTGGTTCTTATTTTTTCCCCATTCCTCTGCCCTCCCTTAACCCCTTCCAACCTCTCCTATTTATAGACTTTGCTTCCATGTTTTCCTTTTCTCATATTTTTTCCCTTCTTTCCTTTCCCCTACCCTTTACTCTTTATCAAATTTTTCATAATTTTCTATAATTTTTTATTATAAATCAATTTTGGACTTCACCTCATACTTTGAGGTAGATATATAATTTTAATAATTTAGACCACTTATATGTTAAATTACATTCATACATTTTCTGATAGTGAACCATTTATATATTCCAGAGTGAAATTCTACTTAATCATGTTATATTAATCTTCAATATGATGTTGTAGTCATTTATCTGATAATTCATTTAGGAATTGTCCATGCTTTTAAGCTCATATATACGGTATCCATTCAGTCCATTAGAATCAGGAGAAAAACTTTTCTTATATGCACTGGTCAGATTTCATTAGGCCCTACTCAGTATCAAATCTCCTGTCTTCCTTGCCAAAATAACTAATTTGTTCGGGACAGTGATCTTCTCAGCCATATATGCAACTTGATAAATCTAAGCCACTAGTTTTCAATTTCTTTTTTCCTCTGATGATACTTTCACATTTTTAAAAAGTCTATAGAAACCAAAGTCCGTAAATCTATTGATATAATGATATATGATGATTTACAATTACTAGTGATTTGTAATATATAATGGAAATTAAAACTGGGAAGTGTTTATGACCCAAAATGCATGAGCATACATTCCATAGCTATCAGAATAGGTCATTTTATGTCATGCAGGCACTGGGGATTCTCCTTAGTTCTTACAACAAAGAGTGGAAAAGGTAAATAACATCTAAATATTACTCTGAAAGTTGTTTTGAATTCACTAATCCCTTGAAAACAGAAAGTATCTAGATTATGCTTTGAGAACCGCTGATGAATGTAAATCAGTTAGTCTTGTCTTCAGCTTTCCAGATCTCCTCAAATCGCATTTGTCCCTGAGATTTAATTTTGGCTAATGGGCTTTATGCAGATGTTAAGTATGGAGTTTCTGAGGGAGCTTTTACTTCGGTGATTAGGAAAAAAAGGATTGAGCGTGGCTCTCCTTCTTTCCCTTTCACTGTCCCGAAGGTAGTTATTAAATGGGTGCCCAGCAACCTGCGGCAACCAGGAGACTACAAGGACGAAGATCACAGTCTACCAGCCAGGAGAAGTGTGAAAAGATAAAAATAGGCCTGCATCTCTTATTTTATTATTAAGCAGCTGAATAAACAGAAGAAATCATACCTCTGAAAGTCAAATTATGAGGGAAAATAAATCTCTAAGCCATTAATAGTTAGTTTTTTCTTTGATTTAAAGTTAAACACTGTCTTTAATCAGTGTGGTATCAAATTTTTACTACCATCACAGAAAGTTTAGCACTTTCCCACTTCTTATGGGCAACATATAGAAAATAAAGAGGATATTTAAAGGGAAGTTTCACTGGTATTTCATGTTAGATATTACACACAATCTGCCTGTACCTGGAGTCTTTTTTGTTTAGCGCCTCATTCATAAGACATATTAATCAGCTTTTTGGTGCTGTGATCAAATACTTGAGAAAAACCACTTAAAAAGAGAAGTTGTATTTTGGCTTACGGTTTCAGAGGTTTCCATCTTTGGTCAGGTGGCCCCATTATTCTTAAGCCTTGAGTGAGATCGAAACATCAGGGCAGAAGAGGTGGGCAAGGCAAGGTTGCTCACTTCACGGGAGCTGAAAAGTAGAGACAGAGAGAAACAGAGAGGAGGGAGTCAAGGACAAGACACAAACTCTAAGGTCAAACTCCAAGACCCAGTCCCCAGCACCTCAGAATAATGCCATCAAACTATGATCTCCTGATTTAAACCCTCACAAGCCAATCCTTTCTCAAAGCCCATCAGCAACCAAACAGCCATGTTTCCCACACAATGAGCTTTTGGGACACGTCATAGACCCCAAAGCATGACATAATTTATGGCCCTGAAATTATAATTTTACCATTTCAGTTGTTTGTTTTTTTAGTTACGTTTTAAGAATTTTAGTATATTCAAGTGTTAATTACGTCTAGTACCACTTTTTTGGTATGCCAACATATATTTTGGAAAAAATTTTTCATTTTCTGTAGTTTTCAAATGTATTCATGTTCTCATTATTGTAGCGTGTTTCTTTTAATCTTGTTATATCTGGCTAGTTCTATTTTTTTTTTCATTGTTCTATCTTGCTATAGCATTGCCTAATATTCTTTTTAAAAAATCTTTTAAATTTTTTATATATGTTCCACATTTTTCTGTATTTTATTTGTGAGTTTTTTCGGTTGTTATATTCTTGTTTCTGGGGTTAAACATTTGACTCTTGGCTTTTTGTTTTCGCAAAGCTGGAGATACAAAATATTTCTCTAAATATTTTTATCTGTTTCTGATAACATTTGGCAATGTTATTAATTTAACTCAATTCCAATATTTTTGATTTCCACTTTCCTTTAACTCTAATACCATTCAAATTCTTTCAGTAACCAGATAGGTAACACTTTCTGATTTTGTATTTCAAATTTTGTATATCAAATTTTATTGCACTATGGGTTTTCAAATTGCCCAGTTTTGTTGGTCATTTTAAAGAGTGTACAGCCTTAAAGATGGTCACTTTTCTGAGAAAGCTTGAAATGAATGTTTATTTACTGGCTATAAAGATTTTATTTGACTTTATAATTTCTACTCTAGATTTTCTTTTAAATAATATTTACCTCTACCTCCTATGTATTTTTCATATGATTATTTACAAAAATACACTTAGTACATAATTTAAGCACACAGAGAACAGTTAAATGTAAAAAATAATATTTGATAGACTGAGGCAAAAGTTAAATATCATCAATAATAAATGTGATAATATGATATTTTATCTGAAATTCATAACTTTATTACAATTTTATTTAGTGGTCAAATTTGAAACATTTGACATTTTAGTGTAGAAATAAGTTTTCAGCACTGCTGACTCCTGGACCATTCTTGCAGTAATGATGGACTTCGGATAGTGAAAAAGATGCTCCCTCCTTGTGAAGGCTAGGAAAGAACAAAAACATCTGATAACAAACTGCATCAGTTATCAAGCTATTTTACTGGATTAAAATTTTTACACTCTTTCAAGTCTGTGTAGCAATTATGCCAAAGTTTTTTGCACTTTTTCAATAGAATTTCTAAATATTTGTAATTATATTTTAGTACAGGAGGTAGAAAGATAGATTTGACTCTGAATCTTTTCTGCAAGAACTCTTCCCTGTACTCATGAAGAAATATCTAAACCAGTAAGACAGAGAAATTTCAGCAAGTATCAATAACAAACCTACTTTTTATGCAAGTCACACTCCATTGTTAAAAAGTTCTGTTAAGTTGGTATTGAAGAGTGTATTTCCCTGAAGCAATCTGTTAGATGTGTAAAGGCTGATATTTCATCTTGTTTGAAAATGTTATATGAATATAAATCTAGATCGAATGACAGAGTTGAAATGAGCACTCAGCCATTTGCCCTTCCAATGTCTGAGGCAAAACTAAATATCAAATAACAGATTTGGGAGGAAAAAATGTGGGAGCTAAAATTACACTTATATGCGTTCTTCATTTCCAAACCTTCATCATTTAAATTTGTCTCTCTGATAAATACATTTCTGGGTCATATTTTTGACTTGCTATTCTATTGGAGAATCTCCACTGTATAATTGTTGAGTTTAATCTATACTCATTCATTGTAATTATTGTTTAATTTGAATTTCTCTAATGTCTAATGAGGTGGAACATTTTTCATATGTGTTTGGCCATCTGTATGGCTTCTATTCAGATCATTTTTACACTTTTTAATTGATTTATCTTTTACTATTGAGAATATTTTTCTATATTCTATCACTTACACTACTTTATAATCTGATACAGGTGCATATATTTTCCCAAATTTTTCTCCATTCTCTGAGATATCTTTTCAGTTTTTTGATTTTTTACATGTAACATAATAAAAATCAAATATAGATTGAATAGATTAAATTAAACCAATCAAATTTTTCCTTATGTCAGTGAATGCATTCTTCACTGACAAATCAGTGTTTTATTTGAGGTCTTCCCTGAATGCATCAGCTGTATTGATTGGCTCCTAGTTGCTTATGGGAGCAACTTGGAAATTTTCCCTGTGATGATTTATGGTTTGAAGATGTGGAACAAACGTCATGGAAGAATATTTGCTATTATAATCTGCTCCACCACTCTGCACACACCTACCCCAATAAGATGACCTTATCACAAACCGCATTTCTGTATCTTGAGCAGTGTCATCTCCATCTTTTAGATTATATTTTAATTTTAATATCAACATCACAGCTTTTCTTTGCAATACTATTTTCCTGGTTTACCCTTTTTTATCTCTGGTGCTGTTCTTTGCCAGGAGCTACACCTCTCAGTCAAAATCACTTAGAAAGGGAGGGGAACATTCATTCGTAGGACAGAGCCACCTATCCTTTGCAGACATTACCTTCTCACTGCTTCAGCTGGAGCCTGATACCATCCATCCTCTCTGGCTGTTTGCCTCTTCTCCTTGATTACGCTGTGGTACTTGGTGCTACTGCTTCTTATGTCAGTGGTGCCACTATAGACAACTGTTGCCCCCACAGACAAGAAAGGAAGAGAAAAAGGAGCAATTGGAAAGCCCTCACCTGGTTCGTGGCTTCTAATTCTCCTCTGACCTCTTTTTCCAGAGTTATCATTAAATGGAATTCACATGTGTTTTCTTGCAAGGGATTGCTGGCAACTTGTCTCGAGCCATGGATCCATCAGTGCCATTCTCTTTTCTCTTTTTGGTTTTGTGTGTGAGGAGCAAAGGCAGCAGACAAGCTAGTTCATCTTGTCAGGAGTTGAAAGCACCTTTTCTTGTGAACTGTTAATGAAAATTTCATCATACGTAAAGATTATTTTTGTGTATCACTGACTATCCTTGTCACCCTCCCTATGGACTTGATAACATTTAGCTAAGATGTGGAAATAACATTTAAAGTACTGTTTACAAAGTATCACTAGGGATTTCTGGCAGACTTGCAACTTAATGTAATAGAGAAGCTATAGAAAGGAAAAATTTGGGAGAAAAGAGCAGTCCCCCACTTCCTCACAACCAAAGACACACTGTGGATAAAATATAACTAAAGGTGATATTTTACAAATGAGTACAAATAATGGGAAAAATCCTTCAAATGTTGATTGCTGCTTGCTTTGTTACTGAATTTAGACCAAGATAGACAATATGTCATATAAAACATAAGGTATATCACCAATGATTCTCCACTGTAGCTATTTTCAGAATTCTGGATTTCTAAAAGATTGAAGAATATTGATTTTCTAACTGAATTTTAAGTAGTATTTAAACAGCCATTCTTTTTAATATGTTCTTTAGTTGTAAGAAGAAGCACCATTTCCAGATCACACAGAACTTTCTCCCTTCTTTCTCTGGCATTTAATGTGCTCATCAAGGAATTTAGAACTACTTAATATTAAAAAAATAGGGCCAGAGGCCAGACATTTAGCTCAGAGGCACTGTGCCTCCCTTGCAAGACCAAAGTTATATCTACCATACAGGTAAGGTATAATCTGCACAGATTGAAAATAACAGGACTACACGTTCTACTCCAAAACACAACCTTTTTATTTAAATGAATCGAAACTTTTTAAAAAAATAGAACTTTTTTGGGTTATTTGCTTAGTTGTATACTTCTGTTTTGTTTTGTTTTGTTTCATATTTCAGCTTCTTATTAATCCATATTCGCAGTACGTAATGATTACATTCCTTATCAGGAGTTGATAAATGTAGAAAACACATCTTAGATCTTTTTTAATCCCCTTTTCCTCCCCTCCTTCCTCCATCTCCTGCATTTCTAGGTTTCAGTCCCTTTTGCAAAGTTTTTATCTCTTTATTTCTTACTATCTATCTTTCATATTGCTTTTCATTCATATTTTGGGTATCTCATATAGGACAAAACCCTGTGATATTTAAGCTTGTTTGTCTGATTTATTTCATTTAACATTATAGTCTTGGGACAAGGAGTTAGCTCAGTGGTTCTGCCACCTGCCCTGCAGGTAAAAGGACCCGAATTCAATCCCCAGTATAAAAAAAAAAGTTATAGTGTCAAGGGTGCATTCATTTTTCAACAAATGACCTAGATTTATTCTTCTTTATGGCAGAGTAGTACGCCATTGTGTGTAAGTGCCACACTTTAGCTTTTAGCACAGATTCCAATCTAACCAAGTTATAACAGCATATAAATCTCAAATAATTTACATCTTAAATTCAAATATTTCTCATCTTTTCTGGTTTTGTGTCTAAATATCTATTTGCATAGGTATAGCTGGTAAAGCTGTGTTTTTAGTTGTTTATATGAATTCAACATATTTGTATTAAGCTTTTTATTTCTCATGGAGGTTGCATTTGGGATAAAAAGACAAATAAGTTAATGCAAAGCTGGCTAGGAAATTGCTTTCTGGAGAAGAGGCGTTAGAGTGGGACTTCATACAGGGAATTGCAGGGAGCTCCGAAAGGCAAACATTCCAGGCAGTGGGAAGGCAAGAACAGAAGACAGGAGAGTGAGGAGAGCAAACAAACAGAATCCTGACGTGTCCTAAATTCAGCGGTCGCCTAATTGCTCCAGAACTCTGTCAGGGCAGACTGCTCATGCTCCTCAGCTGGGGATGCCTGGGGGAGCGTGTGGTACCCAGTCGCTGTTCAGAGAGCATGCATTTGCTCTCAGAATGTTCTCTTTTCACGAAGAAATGAGACAGCTGCTCTTATTGTAAGCACGAGGTAGATGTACTTACTTGTTAGAAAATATTATCAGTTTTGAATATAAATGCTACTCTAATTAACTCAAGACTTAGAAACCTGCTTTCACTCATCACAATCTATTTTCTTAGAAAAATCATTTGAATTCAGAACAATCCACTTTATTTACCATCTTTTCCTATGATCTTTATACTTTTTTGTTAAATTTCTAGCCATCTACTCAATCTGTAAAACATGAAACGAAAACTAAATCAAATAAAAAATATAAAAAGAACCTATTATGAGACTTCATTAATTGGCATTACTGCCATCTGAATATTTATTATGTTCTTTGGAAGGAGGAGAATGAAAATACAAGTGATTGATTAGACTTTTACTATGCTCCTTCATGTGTGCTTCTCTGTGAATTTACCTTCCAGTTTTCTGCAGGGAGAAGTCTTGCATGACCTGATGCCAGTATGAAGGCTGACAGCACAGACCACTGCGACCAGCACTTAGGAAGTAGGAAAAGTCCAGCATGAACATGACAAAGGGTTTTTCTTTCAATTGCCAAGCTCTTTACAACCATGTGCATATGCACAGAAAAGGTGTTTAGCATGTGTTTCAACCATGGGCCATATGTCTGTGTCTGTACATGTGTACTATACACAGGGAAAGAGAGAGGGGAGAGAGAAAAAAATACAATTTCTATTAGACTCCAAGTACAATGAAAAGTAAATAAACCTAATTATTTCTATGAATAAGAATTCAATCATGCTAAAAAATTAAAAGAATCAATATTAGGCCACATAAGTCAAAAAGGAAATATCACCAAAAGCTTAAGAATTTTGTGAAAAAGTTTCATATATATTTACCAGTTAAAACATCACCCATATTTAAGCATTTTTTCTCTTCCCTTTTGATCTAGAACAGTCAAGAAGTTCTAAGACATTAAAATATGTATAGTCTCAGTGAGCCTGGGAGGTAAATATGGCAATGCCACAAAATATTACTTATATCCTCTCCACCAGCCTGTTTGCCGGACTAGAGATGTGGCTCAGGGCTAACAAGCTTGCCTAGCACACACAAAGCCTTGGGAAGGATCTCCAGCAGCAACAACAAAAAGCTCACATGGATATGTGTGTCTTTGGCAATGAGACAAATTCAGGGGCAACTTGTAAATACAGCAGTGTAATTAACCTAGCAACATGCACTTATCACAGGATTATGTGATTTTGCATTTCATCTATTAGTGTACTGTATTAAGGTTCTGTATGGGAACAGAACCATGAGGAAATAATTCACAATTATTCAAGGGGATTTAACAGGTAGCCTCACAGGATTGGAAATTCACAATGCCTTCTGTGGGATCAGAAACAAGAGCTCAAGTGTCATCCTGTGTGCTGGGGTGGAAGGACCCAGGGGGGCTGTGAACCCAACAACATGGGAGCCACAGAATGAGAACGAGCAAGGATGCAGCACCCATCCACAGCTGAAGGCCTCGAAGCTCACTGTGGAGTCACTGGTGCAAGTCTGTGCTGGAGACTGAGGAAGCTGCAGACAAAGGTTGGAGCTGATGGGGCAGACAGGAGCTTTTCCAAAATAGGCCCACTTTCTTCCTCCCTCTTTTGTTCCATTCAAGCTACAAGTCCATTGGTTGGGGAACCCACATCCAATGGAGGTCTTCTCCACTCAGTGGCTGGCCAATATGCCCATCACCCACAGGCACTCCCTCAGACACAGCCAGGGTGTACTGCACTATTCTGCTGGGCATTTCTTAATTCATGCAGGTCGATATACCACGATTGCTGGTCAGAATGTGCCCATTGCCAACTTGACAAGCGCACACATCCCCTTAAACCACCTTAGTCTCCCAGTACAACAGCAAGTTCATCATCACACCTAACTTGATAAAGGTATTCTGCACACAAACAGAAATGTATTCATCCTGTCCCCAGAATAGAACACAAAGTTAGTTTCTCCTTGGGTAAGGCTCACTCTTCTCCTGTCATTCCATAACTTAATTATCATAACATCAATTTAACAATACTAATATTAAATTAATCAGCATTATATTAGAAATAAAATAAAGATATGTGCTTAACATATGCATATATGTACATAAACATACAAAGAGGAAAATAGGAAAGTAGTACTCACGATGATTATAGCCCTTATTTCTGTCACTGGTCACAGCTACACCACTAAGCTAAGTCCCCGGCCTGCTAACCAGCTTCTCACAGTATCCAATCTGTATTCCCCGGGCTTTTGATAAGCACCTGAGCAGGTCTTGGGTCTATACCTGGTGGGGAAACCCACATTTCCATTCTGGAAGGTTCTGGGCCATGCATCCTCCTGCCTGGGTGAAGTTGTTGTAGTTCCCGTTGACCATAACAGCAGGCCATGGAGGACAACACACTCCACACGTGCTCTTCCTCCCCTCCGTAATAAATTTGTACCTAATAAATTTGTAAATAGTATGTACCTGAAGTACATAACTTAAAATGAGAAAGGGTTTATTTAGCTCACAGCTTGGGAGGTTCAATTTCTCTGATCAGGCGGCTCCATTGGCTCAGCCTCCAATGAGGGCAGGGGATGAGAGCAGACCATGGTGGCAGCAGATGCGGGAGCAAGTGGTCACATCTCAGCCCAAAGCAGAGAGGACACCAAGTCCCTCCACCCCTTTTAGCACATGATTTCAAGGCTGTTAGGCCATGCCAATAATCCCCACCTCCTAACGCTTCTCAACCTGCCTGTACCCTCTTTGAGATGTGGAACTTTGCAGGACACTCGATATGGAAACTACCACAGAATCCTTGGTCTATACAAAGGATAACAGTATTATTACATGTGTATATTATCCAGTTCTCCATTCAGATAATAAGTTCCTGTATCTCTCTAATAAGCATCTATTCATGCTATTAGGCTAAGAGTAGTACAAACATATTATTATGCCCAGTTTTTACATAAGTCTCCTACCATAAACTCGCTTCTAAAAAAAAAAATTAACCAAGGCAATGCACATTACCTACAAGTATTATATTGTCCAAGTTGATTTATTAGAAGTACCAAGGGTTACCAGAAAATAAAATGTGACAAAGCAAAAATGAGAAATACCATGAATATTGCTTGGTGTAGCAACTTCTGATATCCAATGGTCATTCTGCCAGGATTATTTGTAAATTGGAGTTTCTGATATAATTCAATGATAACCTATTTATCAAAATTAAATTCTAAATTACTTAATAGATTGGTCACACACACACACACACACACAAAAAAAAACATGAGCTATCCATTTCATTTGCTTAGTTGGTTTTTGTCTTGTTTTGTTTTTGTGTTTGTTTGTTTTTGGGGTTGTTTGGATGGGTACTGGGAGTCAAACTCAGGCCCCTGAACTTACAAGGCCGGCGGCAGCACCAGTGAGCTAAATCCCTGGCCCAGTATTGCTAAATCATCAATTATTTCCAGACCTAACTTGACACTAGAAAGAAGAAATGAGAGTGTTTTCCTGCTTAATTTATTCACTAAAATGTGGCTACAGTTTCCAAAGAGATTTATTTAAAAATCAGAGTATTTCTTGCTTTCAGGCCATTTAGTTCTAAGACAAAAACCCATGTTTGATTTCTCAGATACAGGCCTTCCTTATGTCCGTCTGTAAGTCTCATGGGAGGACTGTCCTCATGCAGGGCGGCTGGAGCACTGTGGCTTCATGTAAGGCATTAGTACACAGCTGAGGGTGTGGCCCTCTCCAATGTGGACACACTCAGACTCACCTGTGCCTGCACCTCAGCCCATCTCCCCATACTCAGATGCCTTTTTCCCAAGGCCTCCACAGAGGCTCTTCTGTCCCCTAGACTCAGCACTGTTTCACTCTAACCCTTCCCTCTTTTGGTCTCTGGGCCTGTAAGTCCATCAGAAGGAAGGAAACTATTGCGTGGGGCTCCTCGGGTATGAGATGATTCCCTCCATCCACCTGCCCTGATCGAAGCCCCAACTTGTAGGAAAAGAGGAAACAGCAGGGAGCCAGGGCCGCTCCTCTTTCTTTAGATTATTTTCTTTAATTGGTGAATAATAACTGTACTTTCCTGGTGTACAAATTGATGTTTTGAGAGATGTATGGGTTTTGCCTTTCGTTTGTACTATTGTGGTTCTTGAAGACCTGAAAGTTATTTTTCTTTTGGCTCATTGCCCTAATGGACCACCAGGATGCCTGATTGCATAGTAGTCACTAACATGCTTGTGGACACTAAGTTTATCATGGGAATTATACATAAAAAGAGGTTTCAGCACCCCTTCTTCAAGCGTTAGAAATGGAATCAGAACACATGATCCCTCAAAACATTACTGTTGCTTTGAATACAAATTGGCAAACACTAAGCATCACACAAGAATTTTAGCACAGTTCAGATTATTTTAGGCATCCATTATTTTTAAAATCAGTCAAAGAAAATGGACACATTTGTGAAATTTTTAAAGAAAATCCTGCCTTAAAAAGAAATGCTGCTCAGACCAGACCATCTACCTGCCTGAACACCCCGTTTCCACATTTCCAACACACAAATGTAGCTAATAGGCCCCTTTCTGCAATTTTATATTTTCTTCAAATCCAAGCTCTTTCACATTTGCGATCATTTGCTTTAGAATATAACTATTTGTACACACCTTTCTCTCTCTCCAGAGACTGCAAGCTCCTAGAATACAACTTTGTATTCATTACCTATCCAAACTACTTTAACTAGCATTATGCTTTGATTATAATTCGTGGTCAGTAAGCATATGGTAAGCTAAATCTATTATTTTAATTTGAAATTTGTAAAAAAAAATGTATCATTTGATACTTTCAAAACCAACCACAGGAGATACCTTTTGGTAGCGCAACCAGCCTTTTATCTTTTTTAAATTTATTTTGTTAAGTGTAGATTTGCACAGCTATAAAAAATAACAGAGACCAAGACCTGTCATGTAAAAGTACAAGATCCCAATGATGAATGTAACTGTACTGTATACCTAACATGTACCAATAAACTCAATGAGAGAAGAAAAAAAAAAGAAAGAACACAGAAATGTCCTGAGGACCACAAGACCTGGTGTAAAAGTACAAGATCCCAATGATGAATGTAACTGTACTGTATACCTAACATGTACCAATAAACTCAATGAGAGAAGAAAAAAAAAAGAAAGAACACAGAAATGTCCTGAGGACCTTTCACTGTTTCCCCCAATAGTATCTGTCTTAGTTTTCATGTTGCTGAAAGAAAATACCCAATATCCACAAATTAAAGGAGAAAAGATTTATTTCAGCTCACAATTTATAAAGCTTTCAGTCCATGGTGGGCTGGCTCAAAGGCCAGATGTCATGGCAGAGGGTCATCACAAAGGAGAACCAGTGCATGGTGTGGCAGGAAGAAGGCAGCAAGCAGCAAGCAACAGCAGCCAGCCTGCCTCCCTTTTATCCCATCTTGGCTACCAGCCTTTTGGGTGGTGCCACCCAGAACTATGCTACACCAATCAGTCAACTGATTTGGTAGCAAATAATCATAATCTTAGTACCACACATCCTAGATCCAGCCAATTCTGGAAAGTCCCACCTATGAGCTCATGAG